GGATAACACGCAACTGCTGCCAATATTTATACACTTAAATATTTCAAAAAATAAACGCCTCAAATCACCCATTGGGTCGACCCGAATTCGAACATTGATAGGAAACAAATACTTCTCGACCTGAACCCAAGCGTACCGAACCGAAAAAAAACCCATTTAACATTGTCATACATATAGGACTAGAAATAATTAAAACACCTAGCATACATATAGTAACCAATACATGGTTCAATTTCTTTCTTGATCTAAGCTTAATATATTGTACTATAGTAACACTTGACTTTTTAGTCTACCCGTCTCAGCTAAAATGTCCGGCCGATTCTGAGAGACCCTCAAGCTAGTCAGCATTTATGGCCCTTCTTGCAAGAAAGTACACCGGAATATTGGGTGAGGGAGGTGATGAGTGAAGAAGGCCGGGCGCTCAGGCTTGATGCCTTGGCATAGCGTGACGATGCCCCGGCGCCTGAACTCGTAAAGAAAGCCCCGTTCATCATCAAATCTCCGTCGCTTCTCCAGTTCCAGTTCTTCCATTCGCTCTTGGGCGCATCCTCGTGTTTTGTCACCTTAATATGATCAAACACAGACAATTTTTTTTTAAAAAAAGATGAGATTTTGGACGTTACATCGATGGCTTACATTGACACAAAATGTCAGTACAAAAATATAACCGCACGCACTTACATTGACGCAAAATGGGTATACTTTTTTATAAATTTTTTTTAGTACAAGTAGATTTATACTGCGTTGTTTGAAGTGAGACGAAAATTTTAGGACGGAAGGAGTATATATTTTGATGCCAAGAAAAGACATTGTGGTAAACATGATTGGGAAAGTGATGTTTCTTTCTAACCTCTTTGTTGAATCTGTCATCTGGGGCCAAGAATCTGTTGCCTTGACTATTGATTGTTGGGTCAGCACTCCCTCCAATGGCATACATCTCCCAGTGTGTATAGTCATTGTTCACCACATGGAAATACCCATGTCTACACCTACATGTTCACCACATGGACTTATTAATTAATACTATGCATTAATTAGTACAAAAATTCAAAAAGAATCATATTATTATGAGACACATTTTAACTACCTTGGCATTCTTTGAACCAGGCCTTCACCAAAGTGGTTGAAAGCAATGGTGACTTGCATGTTCTTGTCCTGTGTGTAGGAATCACTGTGGCCCAAGAGCATGACCTTGTTGTGATGGGTCATGTAATTGTTGGAGATGGTGATGGCTGTGGATCCATGGATGGCATCAATCAGCCCATCCCTGCAGTTTGACAGGGAGCAATGGTCAACCCAGACATGGCTCCCCCCAAAGATGGAGATCCCATCCCCATCCGAAACCGTCCTCCACCCGTAGTGCCCCGGGGAGTCCCTCACGTTGGCGTTCCCCCCCTGCGTGCAGTCGTGTATGTGCACGCCGTGGATGATGACGTTCGTCGCGTACTGGACCGTGATGCACGGGCCGCCGGCGATGTGCACGCTCGCGCCCCGGCCGTCGATCGTCTTGAACGAGTTCACCATCAGCTCCTCCTTTAGCTTGATCGTCATGTCCCGCGCGAACACGATCCAGAGCGGCTCCTCCTGTATCGCCCCGTGCCGCAGGGTGCCCGGCCTCGGGGACACCGCGTCGTCCCCCGGGTCCGTCACCACGTACGTCCTCCCACCCTTCCCCCCGAGCGCCCGCTTCCCGAACCCGATCGCGCAGTCCGCCAGACGCTGGCGGTTCTTCTCCCAGTCCGGGTCGCACCGCCAGCAATCGTCTATCGGGTTCCCCGTCCCGCAGGAGAGGAAACCCAGGTTCCTCCTCATGCTTGCACTTGCATTGTTGATCTTCCTGCAAACCAAAATCAGTTCAACCAAAAACCCAAACTTTCCCTGTCCCAGTCTACTTTGACAACTTTTAGTGCAAGTTTCAGTAAGAATTGCCCAAACCCAGCGGACAGAGAGTAAAAAAAAACTACAACTGCTCGGATCCACTGGGCTTTTCCAACTTTTACTGTAAACGGCACTAAAAATTGGGAGGTTGGAGCGGGGAGAGAAATGTAAAAGAAGGTGAAAATGTATTGACTTACTCATTGACTTCCTGAACAATGGCTTCAGGATCAGAGAAGGGGGGAGAGGAGAGAGTGAGTGTGAAGTGCAGGGGGAAGAGAAGAAACAGAGTGGGGAGGAGAAGAAGGGAGAGGGGCATTTTTGCCATTTTGTGTTTGGGGAGGAGAAGAGATGGGAAGGGTGAAGTCTTAATTTGGGGAGGGGGAGGAGATAAAGGGGATTTTATATGTGGAGAGATGGGAGTTTTAATTGGATCACAAATAGTGGTGTGTAAGTAAAGAAAGACAATGAAGGAGGGAGGGAGGGCCCACCCACTCCCCCACCCCTCCTCAATAAATTCAAACTTTCCTTCCCTCCGGATTCCCAATTTGGCAATTAAAGTTTGTGGGACCAGATCATGGGTTCGGGTATCCTGTTAATTATTTGAGTAATGCTAGGGGTACATCTTTGGTGTACCCCATTTGTCCCTCACCTCCTTGTCCATCACCTATTTTTCTTTACTTTTTATTTATTTAATTTTTTTTTTTAAAATTCTTGCCATTTTTGTGGTAATGGAGGGAGTTGGGGACAAATGTGGTATACCTTTTGGGGTACACCAAAGGTGTACCCCTAGCATTTTTCTAATTATTTATGTGGTTCCTTTGACATAACAAATTAGCGATCATGACACTGGACACCACATACTTTGTTCACAAAATTGGTAGTTCCTACTTCTAATCCCTTCGTTCCTCTACATGGCAAATCCTCCATCTAGTCTTGAACCAAACTCATTAGGGCTTAGGAGTGATCAAAAATATCCAATTCGGAGCATCCATCCTCTATCCCAGTCGATTCGATCTGATAAAAATAGATCGATATTTTTGTTTCCAGATCTTTCGAATTGGATATTCGAAAAAACTGGATTGAATATAAAATGAAGTAATAAGATTTCGGATATCCAAAATTCATATTTTAAAAAAATAAAGCTCACACAAGCCCCATTCATTTTTATCACCATAAACCTTTATATATAAACCTAATTTAAGTTTTGTTTTAGTGTGAACTGTTAAAATGTCAATGCATTTTTTTGAGGTACAACTTGAATATACTTCTTGGCGCATCCGAAACATAGTTGCTTTTTATTAGAGAAAAAACGATGAGCCTCATCCCGAGGTCCTCATCACACCTGACTGGACGGTCACTAAGAGGAGCTAACATTTAGTATTTGCAGAGATGCTATGTTTAGCATAATTACGTCTCAGTGCAACTGCTGGAATCAAACTCGAATCTATTGACACTTTTTTCCTTATCAATTGTGCAATGTTTACCGGAGTTATTTGTTTTTATTAGGCCCCGTTTGGTACACAGAATTCAAACTATGGAATTGGAATTGAGGTCTTCAATTCCATTTCTGGTGTTTGGTAGCACAAAAATTATGTAGATTTGGAATTGATAGTGCAAAAAATGAATTGGAAATGGTGAATTCAATTATATGGAATTGAATCTCATGAAATTTCAATTCCAATTCAATTCTAATTCTATCAATTCCGTATACCAAACGGACCCTTAGGGAATTTGAATGTAGGACTGTAGGAGACGGCCCATAGTGGGGGCATTGTGATTAGAGGAGCTCCATGTGGTTAAAGATTAGGGGATGGCTAATGATTGCACCAATGTTTGTTTAACAAAAAACAAACTGAACCTAAGCCTCAAATTACGGACTTATTGACAAACAGTTGGATCAATTCAATCCCTTCGATTGTCGATTTGACATAGTACTGTTGAAATACCGAGTATGTACAGAACACATCACTAAAATCATTTCTTTTTTTTTCATCTGTCCTAGAAAATCATTTTACTCTTTATTAAAAAAATATTCAGGATAATTACAACTTATTTAAGTTAATAACGGTGGTTTAACAAAAATAAACTATTTTACGCAATAAAATACAAATTGAGATTATTTTTTATGAATTTATTTTTTGAAATTTTAATTTAAAATAACTTCCTACTCCCATTATTTCTTTCTTCTTTTAAAAAAATTAGTCTAACTTTGGATACAAAAATAGATTAATGAAAATGAGAAAAAATAAGTAAAATCATACAAAATTAATGAAATAAATAAAGTAAATACTAGAAATTAAAATAAGACTGGTAAGAAAAAAATAAACATATATGGAGTGATGGGTTTTGACATTTTATACATTACACAGAGTGTTAATGTATCACTTTTTTATTTTTAGAAAAAATTATCTAGATAATCTCAATTTTAGCTATTCTTTCAAAAAATTAGTACATTAATACTTTGAAGCCAATCCACAAAGAAAAGAGGGAGATCATGGTGGGAAGGCAAAGGTATTCTATTGGAGGGTCAGGAATATAAATTATCTATTTTGGGAATAAAGCACAGTAAGTGTTCTCATCAAAATTCATCTAATGATAATGCAACTCAATATCACTAGAATTGTTCCAATCATTTATTTCAACTTGCAAACAATTTTTAACTTCAACCTTAAGCCTTTCAAAGACCTTGAAATATACGGAGTACCTTAATTATTACTTATAATGCACCCTTTTTCATTTAGTAAAATAAACATGTTTATACATAGGCCTGCTAACATAAAATGCTTTCATTTATCCAAACCATGTTTTTCTCAAAAAAAAAAAAATTATGGCATCCGTAGTACTCCCTCTATCCGGGAATTTTTTCCCTAGTCTTTACTTTTTTTTGGCCAAAATCATTAAACTTTATGCACGATATGTAAATAAAAATACATTGTATTTTAATAAATTTTTAATACTAATATTTTAATTTTGAAATATTATATTTTTATGTTTACGAAATATCCACATGTAAATATTGATATTAATGGTTACATTATTGCATACCCGACCATTAGAAATCAAATGAGAAGAAAATTTTCAGACAAAATATCACACTTAACTTTATAAGGATAAAAATAAATTAAAGTGATGCCCTTTTCTTGGCCCAAAGAGTGCATGAAAATATATCTCACTCATTCAAACAACCATCATAGAACAACACCTAATGTGGATTTTGGATGTTTATTCCCCATCAGAACAAGAAACTACAATTACCAGTAGCCTGCCTCATATGATCACATCTAACTCAACATTTGTCTATTACAACAATTACTGTAATATTTACACATCTGCCTCAAAAATTGCACCATGGGCCCTACTAGCTTGTGTAGACTCTTCATACCAGCTGCAACTAAATGTCAAACCTGGCGAATAATGCCGGTGCAAATATCAAACCCATCGGCTTGAACCCATTGATGGTTTTACAAGAGCTCGTCAAGTGCTTTGACGGGCTGTTCATTATCAGTGATCTCTGCCACAGCATCTTCCCCCTGAAGCAAGATGCTGTTGTGTAAAAGACTAGAACTTGATTTCGTAAAGACTCGAACAAAACATTGTTTTCAATAGTTGGTCCTTAACTCATTTGTGGCTCAAATCGATTTTAGCCAATGCATTAATCCTCATCCATTTCAGCCACACATGAAATTTTTTTACCAAAACACTCTCTAAGACTAAAGATTTGACCCAATTAAGTAATATGACCAAAGCCGTGTTCTTTAACAGGATTAGAAACAGGTGATTTCATCCTAGAATGTGGAATATGATAACTGGAACCTAAAATTAAACATACTAGTGTGATAACTAGAGTGTGTAGAGTCCAAAGACTTTAAAGACTGGAAAACTAGAATAAAAAGTTAAAAAGAAGAGGGTCTAAATACCTTTTTGCTAGTTTCATGAAGATGCTGCTCTGTCCGGGTGCTATGTTCACTAGAGCTTTGATCATCATCACCCTTAGTTGTGAGAGTGGTTTTTTCACCATTCACACTTTTGGGATTTTCAGAATGAAATAAGTCGTCATCGTCAGGCAATGAATCTCCACTATGTGATAGTGATACAGCATGACCATTTACTCCTTGCTCGGCTAAATCAGACATGTCTTTGTTTTCTAATGCCAACAGATTACTATTACCTCTCTGTGATTCGGCTGCCTCTTCAGCTATTCGTTTGGCTTCTTCTCTTTTCCGTTTTAGTCTTGCTTCCTCTTCCTTTAATTGCCTAAACCTGGAAAGTCATTCCTGTGTGGGTAAGAAATACCCGGAGTATAGGATGCACTAAATCACTATAAATCTCATCATTAACTAAAAACCTTTCTCCAGGACGAGGCCCTGCTGAAGTGGTCGTTTCTTCTTTCTTTGGAGTGGTGGGTGGTTCAGATAGAGAATCCATTATTTTGGGTTGCTCTTTACTAATAGCATCATCCATTAATTCCTTTATAGGATTTTTTGCACCCCCCAACTTCTGAAGCCAGATCTGTTGGCCAGTGCTAAGTATGTTGTTTGTGAGCCTGCATTAATTAAAGCTGTTAAGAAAATGATACAACTTTACGATCACAAGCAAGACAAGACTGGAACAGAAGAAAAATTAGTTTCAAAATCAATCAAGAAAAGGTAAATTCCATGGGAATTCCATAGAGCAGATAGAAAATAAAAGGCTTTATTGCAACTTACCAATACAGGCTAAGACCAGAAGGTACTGAAAGGGAAAAATAACCAATCAACAAGGGTAGAAAATTGGTGATGACTTGAGAGCTCTTCAGGTTTGGATCATTGCTCTGGAAGGATATTTACCAAAATGAAAGTTGTCAAGGATAATAAACCATTATAGAAGATATATATGAACTATTCCATTTTATTAATAAAATGAAATGTACCCAAATCTTACTGAAAAGAAGAGACTAGAGAAAAAGTGATCATTTTTTCCTTTGAATGGAAAAGAGATTAAATAGAGGGGATATGCCCAAAATACCCTAAACACTATTTTTCTCGCTCTTAAAATGAATTTCAAGGTAAAATTGACATAAGCTTAGGTTTTTCCATTTTTTCTAACAAATGTAGAAACACTGCCGTACCACGAAAAAACATGCATTCCGTCAAATATTATTTCATTTGTTATATCTCATAGTGGTGGAAACTCCACCAAAAAACATGTTGGACTCCTCTAAAGGGTGCCAAAATCTAATGGGTTATACTTTAAATTAAACATACCTGTGATGGCTGCATGATTTGGATGGAAACATATTGGGAGATAATCAACAGCACAGGCAAGACAAGATAAGCCAGAGTATCTGACCACCCAAGAGGAGGTTGACCATCCTGCATAAAGAGACCCCAATAAGAATGCACAAATAATGGCAAAGTATAAACCGTAAGAACTATGAAAATCCGAGCAGTTAATTGCATAATTTGCTTGATAAGATTCAGTTATTAGATCTAAAAAGCATTAAAAGAAGACTGCAGCATAGGTAATTGTGACTAACTGAGAAAAACAAACAAATCACGACATGAAGAAGATAATATATCAATTACCAAATGCAATTATATAAATTGAGACCAAACTGGTGTGACAGAATAACATGACTTTGAAGATGCAAGTGTGTGAACTATTGGCCGTAAGCGCCAACCGTCTCAAAAGAACAAAACTTGAAGAAAATAAGAGCCGCCTATAAAGGAGCAAGAGCTCCAATGCATCTAAAACACTACTTCCACAAGAAAAGATTAAAATACAGCAGAAAGTGACTTACAACAAAAGGAAAAAGCCAAGCGGTGCCACTTCCAATTTGACGAGAAGCAATTGCTGTCGGACCAGCAAGGGAGGGTATCCAGAAGAAGCCTTCAGTAAGAAGTCCCTTAATATTAATTAAAAGTTCCATTTAGATCTAAGATTGCTGGGTTAGACTACAACACAAAAAAGAAAAAACTAAGGCTGGAAAATTAACCAAACTTTGGTTCAGTTTGTAAGAGTTCAAAAGAGGTTTAATATGTTTTTATTGGTTCAGTTTAATTTTAATCAATTTTGGTTTGGTTTTTGGTACGGTTGGGAAAAACAATACAAAACAAAATTTTAATCAATTTTGGTTTGGTTTGGTAAAACTAAATCGAAATGCCGGCCTGAAACCCCCAAGTCAAGCCCTATAACCATAAGAAAATTTTCAAAACGCCCATCGAAGAAAAATAGACTCTACCTCGTTGGCCACGTTAGAAAGGGCTCTGTACAGCCCAATCCATATAGGAATAGTAGCAAGTGTTGGTAGACACCCTAACAAAAAGAATGAAAAACAAGAACCGTGGTTTAAGATATTGGGATGATAAAATAGAATGTAGTTATAAACTCTGAAATTTATGAAAATAAGGAAATGCGCAATTTTTTATGAAGCACCTGCCAATGGGTTTATGCCAGCCAATTTATATATGCGGGCAGTTTCAAGTTGAATTCTCTCCTGCAACAAAAAGAAATTTAATGAGCTATAAGGATGAGTAACACAAGAAGTTTACTTTTGGTTAAAATGAAGGATCCAAAAACAGTCAACTGCAAAGTACATAAAGATAATCAGAGATTAACTATGTGATCTTGAAACATTAACATGAACATGAGTCGGTTTCCATACAGCAATAGCCCTCATTGAGTCATCCAAAAAATTATCATAGACCCTCATTGAACCATGATTTATCTTTGAGTAAAAAGGAGCTTTTCTCTGCTTTTTTGCATCATCGATATGTATATTACAAATACCTAAATTCAACAGGGATGAAAGAGTAAAGATATGTTTTGTGATGCAACAAACCTGATCACCGGCATAACGTTCCTGTATAGCCTTTATTTGTGGAGCCAAAGATTTCATTGCCATTGCTGATTCCACCTAGAACGGAAGAGTTAAGCCAGAGAGAAAAGTTAGTATCCTATTTCAGATTTATACAAAGACATATCAATTGAACTTATATAAAGTTGCTAGAAAAATTGATTTGCAAGCACACTAAAGATTATCAACATTAAAAAACTGAACCAGAGAAATAACCTGCTTCTTTGTCAGAGGGAAAGTTGCAGTCTTTACTAGTATAGTAAGAAGTATAATTGCAAAACCATAAGCATAGGGAACATGAACAGTAGAGAGGCCATCCTTCAGCACCTGAAATAAAGTAACAAGTATATAAAGTAACCACTTAATATATGTATTTACAAGGCGCCATAGAATTCCACCAAATAGTTTGAGCTTGGTCACTAAATTGCTAACAGTTTGAGCTTAGTCACTAAATTGCTTAAATTTACAGACTGTATGTTGTAAATCAGCAGTTAGGAATTTATAAAAAGTAATTAAGTAACTTACGAAAATGCTAAATAAAATAAAACTAAACTCGTAATACCAAAATGCTAATCCTATCAGCATGTTCAAAGAATATTGCACACCCAAGTATGATTTTGCTTGAAAAAATGATTTCACCCTAGGGTTTACATGTAATTACTTTGCACATTTATTGTGGAAACTACCAAAATCCCCGAGTGGGAGTGAAATTCAAAACAGGAATACACAGAGTATGGAAAAAAATGATTTTTTTTCAACTTTTGCAAACCTTCAAAACAGTCTCCATCGTATTGGTAATTCCAGAAAGCCAGTCACTGTTCTGCTTAGCCGTCTCTGCAGAATTAGCAGCAGTAACCATATCCGGGGAACCCGAAACCGCAGCATCAGCGACGGTATACAGAAACCCCTCAACTCGATCATACATGTTCTTCATGATTGAAGCGGAAACTTCCGGGTCGGGAAACGGACCATGACCGAGCCCGAACCGGGTCACACCCAGCGTGCCCCGCAGAAAGGGCTTGTGAGTGGGAAGAATTCCGAAACGAGTTCCGGTGGAAATTGGGGGCAAGGTTCTGGTTCTGTACGGAAATGGTGATGGAGTTATCTTGGGTCCGAGTGAGAGAACGAAAGTGCCCATTTTTACCGGTATACAAACCCTAGAAATTGCCGGAAACTTCCCCTATCGTCTGGTTTTTATCAGGGTAAAGAGGGATTCAAGTCGAGAAGTTGGAGAGTCTGGATGGGAAGGAGATATGGCAACACACTTTCTTAATGGGAGTGTTTGCAGCTTACAAACGAATGGGGTGTTGGTAGTACCTATAGGAATGTTGGTGTATATGTGAGCATGAATTTTGTTTTTTTTAAATAAGTGAATATTCATTTTTAAATAATAAAATATTTAATTTTCGAATATAAAAATATTTATTTTTGAATATAATTAAATTTTGAAAAAAATAGTATTTAATTAGTCGAAAATAAGTATTCGATTGCTCGAAAATAAATATTCAGCTATTGGTAAATGAGTACTAGACGTGAATGTATGGCAAACATCGTACAACTGCTTGTACGCTATATACTGTGAGATGTTGGTTGGTAGCTTTGATTTCGATTTGAGTTTTAGTATCTGGAATTAGGGCTAGTTTCGATATTGATCCAACATGATTTTAGTATTTAAATTGCAGGTATCTAGTTCTTGGATTGCCGGAATCATGAATGATACCTTTTGGTGGTTTTGACGAGTTTAAGTTTCCAATCGCCTCCAGATCTCAACTGGTTCATGATTTTTTTTAATATTATATACTCCGCATATACTTCGTATATATTATCTTTTGTTAAAAATTGAAAATGAGCATAAAAAACAAAAAAAAACAACTACAAAAAGGGTGATTCCGGTTGTGGTTTAGGTTCTCAAAACTCAAGAACATTTTCTTGACAGTTTCGACTCAATCTAGCTAGTTAGTGGTTCTAAACCCAAAGTTTTAGTTCCAATCTCAAACCAGAACCTTATCTACTCCTATCTGGATTATAGATTTATTTTGAATTCAAAATTAAACTTAGAATAAATTTTATAATTGGTCCTTTATAACAGGGGGGTTTTTCTATTTAGTTCTCTATTATCAAATATTACTCAAGTGGTCCTTTTTTATGGGTACATTTCCACAAATAGTCCTTTTTTGATCTTCTATCATGTTGGTGTTAATTTGAGGACTAAAAGTGTAATGTCGCAATGATAATATATCTTTTTTGTCATACACAATTCCAAAGGCTATTCCGTTTGCGTTGTTTGTGAATTACAGTCGTTTTTTACGACAACTATAGTCTACAAATGTGATCTTTCGTCAGAATCCCAGCCCACAATCATAGTCATTATTTTTGTGTTATCCGCTTAACCAATATCAGAACACGTCACTAGACATAATGTTGACGTCAAATTATACTTTTAGCCTTTAAATTAACACCAACACAGCAGAAGATCAAAAAAAGGACCATTTGTGGAAAGGTACCCTTAAAAAAAGGACTACGTGGGTAATATTTGATAATAGAGGACTAAATATGAAAATCCCCCTGTTATAAAGGATCAATTATGAAATTTACTCTTAAACTTAGATAAAAAAAACACGAGCCTTATTAGAGACATGTTCATTTTTAAATGACATTACTTATTGTGATTTATTTTGAACTTAAATTAAATGTTCTTAAATGAATGGGTACGATTCTAACAAAAGAGACACAAGCATTCTTAAAAAGACATAATCTATTCCTATAAATAGGCTACTTAGAGAACTGGCAGCGGCAAGGAGAAACCTTGCCACGCCCTGCCATTCGTGTAGAGGGAAGCGCGGCAGTGGGCGAGGAAAAAAAAGGGTCGCGAGGCATTCCGCGAGTCACTTCGCTTTGCGTGGCGGATGCGAGGCAAAATTGAAGCAGCAAAATACAATTACTCTCTCTTGGAAAATCATCCGTTGCTCTCTTCTCTGTGCTAGTCTCCTCCGGCCACTGGTTTCTTCTATTCTCTGCGATAGTCTTCTCCGGCCATAATCCTTCACCTACAACCCACAGGTAACTCCACTCATCTCTAACTTTGATTGCACTGCATTCCATCTCTCTGCTTGATCTCTTTTAGTTCGAATGGATTGTTTTTAATTCATCAAAAGATCAAATATATGAATTCATGGTACTGCACACTAG